AGAAGTGCTATAAATTGTGTCATAACTAACAAGAGCCACTTACACGTGAGGGTACAAATATTAAAGTATAAGGGGGTAACTAACTACACATACCTACGATAGTTCTAATTAAATAGCAACAAAATTGTAACGTAAATATTGTATTGCTAAATAATAATAGGTCATTTTTCATGAACGTCTTTTTTTCGTAATCCTCAGTCGTCCTGTAGTGTATCGTCACAGGCATCATAAATTAAAAATGACCCGAAAATCCAATAATAGCTGATTTATGGATGGGGTTGTCGATACTGTCTTGCGAGGATTTAGTAGTGACCTACGTCGGTCTCTCAATACGTGTATATAACGTGGTACAACAAAATCGATTGGTCTCTTCCAATATTCTACGATATATATTTATTAGATAGATACTAAAACTAACCGACATTATTTTCCAAAACCCTTGGTGCTTACCTATTGTAATAAACACCAGCGGAAAAACCGGGAAAATCTGATGGAAAATGCTACACTGTAATAAAAATGTGTTGTAGTAGCAAGAGATATAAGTAACATGAATGTTTGTACAAAATATAGGAGAATAATTCTAATGGGCTCAGGAAAAAAGACTAATAGAAGTGTTTGCCTAGATGTCAGTTAACTTTTTGGCATCATAAGCAACAAAAATACCTAGTGGGCAGGTTAAAACAATGCAGTATCAATTGAAAATGTGAGCAGCAACTGTCCACAAAACTTTTGAACGTCTTGGTGTTGCAGTTTTGTTTTGATAATTTCTTGGTCTTGCACATTTGGCAAGACTATGATTGAGATCATTGACCTACGTATGTCAAAACAATGCTGCATCCATCGAGGATGTGAGCCGCAGCTGTTGACAAAACCTTTCGACGTCTTGATCTTGCAGTTTTGTTTTGATAATCTCTTCGTCTTACCCATTTGGCAAGACTATGATCGGGACCATTGAGCTAGGTACGTCAAAAAAACAATGCAGCATCCATTGAAGATGTGAGTTATAGCTGTCGACAAAACATTTGGATGTCTTGGTCTTGCACATTTAGCAAGATAATGAGCAAGACCATTAAGCTACGCTGCCACGACAAAGACCAAGTCTAAATGAACAACAGCAAGACATTTTACTGGTCTTGGTATTGCGCTTACTCCTCACTAATAACAGTTTATTTCTACCAGTCCATAAATCCAAATAATATTCCTCACATATTTTGACTTCAAATCAATATCAGACATGTTGGAATACAATATTGCTAATTATCAAAATGTCAGTTACAGTTTTTTGTAATTTCGTCTAAAAACGTCTTCGAATTTGCAGCGAATTTTCTTTTAAATTACGACCGATTTTATACATTAAAACCACCCCCATGAGTCACGCAACTCGGTCGCTTTAATTTTAGTCATAATGAGAACTCAAACGGCCGTTCTCATGTTGTTTCATGTAAATGGTGAAATGGAAATTCACTTATCTTAAGGATCAAGAATTCAATCACAATAAAGAAGCGATAAACTACAATGTAAGAGTACGTACTCGTTCGAGCTTTAACTCTGATCGTCGTTATCAAAGTCTAAGCGCATTAATCTTTAACAGCAATCGGCTAAAACATTGTTTATGACCTGATAAATAATGGATGAAACAAATTATTTATTATGGGAATCAAATCAAAATTCCAACTTAATCTTTTTGGTGCTGCCATCAGACAATTAGACCATATTACATAGCATCAATATGTACATGCTTCAAATGCCACCTCAAAGTTTTCAATTTAAATCTCACACTTAAATCTTATGGGATAGAGCCCTTTGTTCAAGAGACAACTGCGAGAAGACATCCTAGATTGAAGGTCAGTCAGGATAAAAAAAAAATGTGCTAAGTACAAGTGTGACTTACAAACTACAGTTCTTACGATTTTGCAAAAGTTGTTAGGCTATCTCATAAGAAAATAATTTTTTCTATAATATTTCATGCTTAATGTTCTGCTTCCATCGATTCTTCTCTTATTATCTTTTTAGTCGATTTATTTTCTGTTATCATTATAAGGTCGTCAGTTCTAAGACTGGTTGAACCTCTACTCTTTCCTATCCTGAGCATCTTCGCATCTTCTACCTCTACTCCTCTTAGCTCTTTAGCTCCTATTTCTACTTTTAATATGTCTCCAACTAATCCATCGTCTATCCACGGTATCATCATCATTTGTCGATCAATAAATTCAAAGAAAACATTTTACCTTTCTTATAAAGTACCAACATTTTGTGCATTCCAATTTAAGTTTAGCCATTGATTTAACGCTAAGTATAGTTCAGTTAATTTGTTGTTACCCTTTGTACCTTCTGTAATAAAACGTAATTTGTTTAATCTACTTTCCTGTTGTGGTAACTATTTATTAATTTGTTTTTTTATCACACTTTAAGTAAGGGTTTTAAACGTTGATTACGTAATAAATAAATAAATTTACAAGCAGATTATTTGATATGGGTTGTTTCATTTTATTGTTTTATTGTATCTTATGTAGAATTAGAAATATTCTTTTTTAAAAAGTTTATTGCTTCTTAAATGGAATTTCAATATTAAATTTGCCTCGCAGAGATAGACATTCCGTAAAAGAATAAAGTCCAAACAGCTTTATTGCATATATGTAGATAGCTATGCTAATTAAAAATACTTTGCTTATGTTTTTGACTACATCATTTTAACTATATCGTTTTTCTCATTGAGTAAATTAGCATGGAAAGTGTAAGAACGTCAAGTACATCAATTGTTTTCTATGAGATTATGACATACTCAGTTTTTGTTAAGGGGTTTTGATGGTGTTTGTTGATCCTGTAATTAATTTTGGTTTACGAACGCAACAAATATGCTCCAGGGGTTTGCAAAACTTGGACTATTTCGTGGTTTAAAATTAACAATCTAGGCACCCCTTTTAACTTATGCAACTATTTTATACCAAGAAGCACAACGATACGATAGGTGGCAAGACTAATAAGACGTCATGTTACTTAAGGCTTTGAGAAGTACATCGATCTCAGAGGGAGCAATATCCCTTCTAAGAGGGATAAGTAATACACGGCGACTACACTAATCCAGAGATTTTCTTCGAAACACTTCTACTTTGATTTTGCACTCTGCTTAAGCTTTCCGGGGATTAATCGGGGATTAAGTTTTCGTAAGGAATTGCCAATTCTGTTCCGTCTTTGAATAGACACAAGTGCTTTGTCGAAAAACATTTCGCACTTTCACCGTTTTGTTTTTTAAATGCATTAGAAACTGAAAACGAATTTATTGTGTTAATGGGATAGACTAAATCAGGGTTGACCTTGGAGGATGCTTAAGAATGAAAACGTTTATTACAACTTTAAAAAAGTAGTAAGGATTTTATTTCTGCAAGTCCATACAATCGCATTTTTTACTTATTATTGTCATTATTAATTGTTGACGTAAACTACTGCGCTTTTTTGCTGGACCAGATGACGAACTTGGATTGGTGAACTAATCTTGACGTGCAGCTCGACCCCGCTATCAGTAGATAATTTTATGTGCTGATCTTCCGGAACTAAGTCGGAAGGATCCGGTACTTTTATGACTCCTCCCGTTTCAGGTGTTTCGGGAAGTGAAGGTTGTTGGGAATCGGATGGGATATCAGATTCTGGACCTTCAAGTTCGGGAGTGGCAGGAACTTCAACTTCTGGGGTGGCAGGAACTTCAAGTTCTGGGGTAGTAGGGACTTCAAGCTCAGGGGTATCAGGAACTTCAAGTTCTGGTGTTGCTGGAACCTCAGGTTCTGGATTAGCTGGTGTTTCAGCGTCTGGTGCAGATGGATTTTCGTTTCCAGGGATATTGGGTACAACTGGGCCGGCACCTACTGATGGGCCTTCGATTGACTGATTTATATCAATTAATGAAGCTAGATGGGGCGGAACGTCAATAAACAGCTTTACTTTTATTCCATTTTCTGTTTCAAGAACAAGTGGTTTAAGTCCGATGGGTTTTTCTTCAGGAACAGATATAGGTTCTACTGGAATTGGTTCTGGTCTAGGAATTATAGGTCGTTGTGGTTCATCTTCTGATAGATCAGGGTTAGAATTTGTGGGTTCTTCTGGAATTGGAATTGGTTGTGGCTTAGGAATTATAGGTCTCTGTGGTTCATCTTCTGATTGATCTGGGTTAGAGACAATAGGCTCTTCTGGCTTTTCTGGTTCGGGAACTGTAGGCGTTTGTAATTCATCTTCTATAGGTTCTGGTTGTGGTACAGGTAAATAAACAGGCCTCTGCGGTAAAGCACTTTCTGGTACGGTAATCGATTCATGGGCTTCGATAATATGTTGAAATTCTGGAGGAACATTAACATGAAGCCTTACATGAACTCCATTTATTGTTCTGAATACAATTGGGAAGACGGAGGATGATCCACCTCCAGACGGGACATACGGCACATCTGGGATTGATGGCGACGATGGTCCATCTCCAGACGGAACAGACGGCACGTTTGGTATTGATGGTGGTTGTTCAATTGGCAATTCTTCCTCTACAGGCAGTTCAACTGGAATTTCAGGCTCTGACGGATCAACTTCAGGGGTTTCAGGGGTAAGATCGCTTTCAATAGGCGTTGAAGGATCAGCAGGTAGCAGTGGAACTGTCGGTGCTTGTTCAGAATTTTCTTCGTTATCGTCGGTCGCTGGCTGTAGATCAGGTGGTAACGCTAGGAGCAACTTAATTTTAACACCATTAGATGTTTTCAAATGTACGGCATGTGAAGCTTGAAAATCATCGTCGGAATCTTCTGGCGCTGCAGGAACTAGTGCATCTCCTGACACGGCCAGTTGGAATCGTTTATCATTTTGAACAAACGAGTCCTGTTGTTCGGCATCTAGAACACGAAATTTAAGCAAGTGCAAGAACAATTATTGAAAACCAATTTGCATACTTACTGATAAAGCTCAACAGGACGGAAAGTAATAAAAAGGTCTTGTGCCACATTTTGCTTCTGCCTTTATAGAAAAAGCAATGTTTACATGGCATTATATTCAATGTTATATACCGCGCAGTAAACTTTTACTATCTATAGATAGCGATTGGCAGATTGTTTGTTCATTGGTCAAATGGAGAAGCATGCGTGTATGTATTTATAAAAACAGATTACACTGGCGTGATATTTCTTTTCATTTATTGGCGGATATGCTTGTTCCTACCATTCCTTCGAAAATGATAAGATTCTTCTGTTAATAATCGTTTTAAACGTTATTAAGAGTTAACCCTGATTCCGATAAAAAGCCAGTCTTTAAAAATAAAACAAAAAAATGTAATCTATTGATAGATTTAGGTCTACTAAAGCCGTCGTAAAGCCATAAGTTTTTTACAGCCAATAAAGTGACAATCACTAAATAATATCTAAAGATTAATTATTACTTGAATAATAATTATTATAAAAATGCTTTATGGCACTATAAATGTTTATACTCTCTTAGAATTTGATCAATTAGTTTTAGTCTTGGAGGTACTTAAAATAGGATTACATTTACAATAGGTAATATAAAGTTGATTATTTATGACACTTTAGAAATGTTTTAGTTTAATCCTAAAAGTATTCAAAGTTTAATTGATAAGATGCAAATTCAACGTATATCAGGGAGATTTATTAATTATTTTATATTTTTTACACAATGTTTTGTGTATTAGGTGATTTCATATACATAATTATCATAAAGAAACACGAAACAAATCTTCAACTTATTGTAAATAAACTATTACTTTCGTTGAATAGCCTTACGTTTTAGGAATGTCAACCAAAAGTTGAGCGAATACCTACAGCGAAATAAAAGAGCGTCATGCAAAGTTGGGTTCTTTTTTACAAGCTAGAAATGTTTGGAAACAAACGGCTATGCATATAAAAGAGAGAAAACATTTTTCTACAAAACATGACCGAGATGTGAAGGGTCAAAGTTGACCTAAATTTTAAGTGTACATAGGTATTGTCGACTCTAAACGTTTGTAGTTTATAAAAAAAGCAGTGCATAGAACTTTTGCTTCTAGCGTTTTTGTACGTTCCACAGAAAACTAAAGTATCCTAACTGCATTCTTAACTATTTGCAAGTAGCAATCTAAACTACATAGGTCTTCCTCTGTACTCCTATTTCTGCTTCTAATGTCTCAGAAGATGTCCTACTACCTTATCTTTCGTTTACCTTATTAACTTCCCTGCAACCTTTTGTTTGTTCTTCTACTCATTTCTAACCTGTTCTATCCTCGACATTCTCATTATCCATCTGTAATACCACTTATCAAGCTCTCTTAACTTTTTCTTTTCCGTCGCGCCCACTTCTCGCATCCGTACAGAGCTGTCTTACAAAACGCACTTTTAATAATCTTCTTCGAATTTTCAAATCAATCGATCACGTTCTATTTGTTAAAAGCGACTTCCCATTCGCTATCCATAAATTATTTTGTCACTAGTTTCATGAAAGCGAAGAAAGATATTGAATCTTCGAAAAATATAATATAAAGAAAAGATTAAAGATGTGATGATATAGGAAGATGTTAAAATGGCGTGGGTACAGATTGGTAGGACACCTTCTCAAGCATGAAGGGCTAGTAAGAATCATACTAAAAACATAAATGGAAGTTAAGGGGGATAGAGGTAGATCTAGACCAGGTTATTGTTCACAAAGGTTGCTCGAGTTTTCTAGAAATGCGATGATTGGCCCAAGATAAGAAGTGGAAGTGCGTGCCCAATCGGTGTTCGGGCCTGAGACCCTATGATGACGATGAGGATGACAACATCCTTAACCTTTTTTAAAACGTGTAGAGTTTGCTATTGTGTTTTTTGTACTTACGCTAATTAAGGAATAACAATATGCTTCTGATCTACAATGGCTATAAAGATTTAAAAAACTTCAATGTTTCATTGGCGGTTTCAGGGGATATCTAGAGGACTCTTTGGGAATAGAGGGACATCTGTTTTGCAAATGTTTGATGCGGTTAAAACCCATAAATAGTGGATAACAGTTCCATAACTTGTGTTTTTTAACTAAACGGTAATTCCTATAAAAATTAAGGAAAAATAAGTCCATGAGAAAATATATCAAAGAAAGTATGTAGTTAACTTAATGTTTTCTATTTATTTGCAATATAAATTTTACCTTAACGTAAATAAATAAAATTTGTTAAAAATCTATCAAAGAATACTTTTATTTAATATTTTGATTTACACATTTTAGTCAGATACAAGCAAATTGACTGGTCGTTATTTTATTTATTTTAGCGGAACCAAGTTACTGGTAAGGAAGGACGCACGGAAGCGACGCTGGGTTCTCCGGAAACACCCGATGCACCAATTGGGACGCGAATTGTGAGTTTGAGTTCGACTGCATCACCATCTGCGGTGGCCTCGACATCAGAAACAGATGCATCATTAGAACCAATCACAACAGGAAGGGTTGCAGCGCCAACTCCTGATTCTACGAAAGCTGGAAGGGTTGAAGCACTAACTCCTGATCCAACCTCAGCTGGAAGGGTTGCAGCACCAACTCCTGATTCAACCTCAGCTGGAAGGGTTGCAGCACTAACTCCTGACCCAACAACGGCTGGAAGGGTTGCAGCACTGACTCCCGATCCTACGGCTGCAGGAAGGGTTGCAGCACTGAAACTAGCGGCTTGGGTTGCTGAAAATCGCGTGTTATTAAATAACGATTAACTCTGGTATTAATGAAGTCAATTATGTTTAGTAGCTAAAATATATAAGTGGATTATTTACCTGCGAAGAAGCAGAAAAGTGCTACAATTGCGGAATGCATGGTGTTACTTTAGTTGATGCTTGAGAAGAACTAATAACTTTTACCGTTTCGAAAGTGGTTTAAATATATTTCCGAATAAAGCGTCATCATTGTCATTACAATTCTTTATCAGGCCAGCATATGTTATCATAAGCCTGCTTTATAACCACTATTTGCTGCTTTTTTATTTGAAAGAAAACAGCACGGTATCGATAATAATTAGTTTCATTGCAGGTCTTAAAATTTATTATTCATACTGCACATACTTAGGTCGTATCTATTATCATTTTTCCACAGAATTATTTGACCTTCCTTTTCTATTTTTTTGACCCAGATTATACAGTTTTCATTAATAACATAAGGCGTAAATCTTTCCAGACTTTTACCGCATTATTTTCTAGTATTCATTAGAAATTCAGGTTAACTCTGAGATTTTTAATTTGTTGCAACGTGGATATTGTTATAAATCAACCAATTCCTTGCGTACTTCATACTTCTTTAATGTCTTACATATTCCAGTTCTTACCTAGATTAAATTACTGTGCACAAGTAGTTAGGGATGTGGGTTCTTCTAGTTTTATTACCGAGCGGCATGGCCTAGAGGTTTAGACCATTGCTTAGCATTCGGGAGGACGCCGGTTCGATTCCGGGTCCGTCTGCCTTGGTCCAAGTTTTTCTGTGGTTTCCTTGGATCACTTAGGCAAATGCTGAGGCAGTAACAATCCACAGATAATCTTTCATTCTCTTCCGTCTTTATTTCGTCCGTCTCATCTTTCTCACCCGAACCACCACCCACCCATTCCTACGATTACTGAAAGCAGGTTGAAGAGGGCCTTGCGCCCTACCTTCCGGCAATGAAACACACAAAAGTTTTTTTTTTTTTTAAAGTCTAGTTTTAGGGAAATGCGAAGATTAGCTCAGGATAAGAAAGAGTGGAGGTGCGTGTCCAACCAGTCTTAACACTGATGATGATATTTCAGTTGATATAAGTGATGCATTGCCTCATATAAGTTATTTCTTTTTATATTGTACCTATCCATTTACCTCTTTTATAATTCGAATTTATTTTTGTTTTTTTTTTGTAATTGGGGGTTTCAGATCGTTTAGTTATTAAATAAATAAGTTTATACGATTACTTGTAAGTGTTATTAATTTAATTGAATGCATGTGTGTGGATTCATGAGGTTACAACAGGAAGGAGCAACTGGGCTACCTTGGAGATATCTCGTTTTGGGGATTTGAACTGGTCGGCCAGATCGCCAGATCCTTTCGGTTTCGATTTTACCATCACGACACACAAGCCTTTCAGGTATTGAAAGAAGAAAACACCAATTTGGTGTCAGATATTTTGCGAGCACAAATGTGTATCAACTCATCATCTATTAAATTTTTATGTTACGAATTTAATACCTTCAAATGAACTTTTTGTGAGTACAGAAACTAATCATATTCTATTTATCCCACTCGATACATGATCTTTTAGACCTTTCTGTAACAAATTTCATGTTCTCCAGTAATGGTTTAATTCATTTTTCTCCCTGTTTCGAGATATAATCATATTATGGAATATGATTTAATTCCTTAGTTCATTTAAGAGTTCAAAAACAAAGGATTTGAACCGCCTGTACAGATTTCTATTGACGTTTGGTTCACTTATCTACGATTATTAATATGCCTCAGGGAAGACATAGTCAAAACATGTTTAATGTATGCAACAATTCAAGACTTATGTTTAAGAGATGTAAGTAATAAGTTTCAAATTGTTCAAAACTTCATCATTATCAACACCATAAGAATTGCATCTTCATTATAAAACATTAAAATAAAAGAGTTAATAGGATTCGGTTGTTTATTCAACTCTAATTTTTAGTTTATACAGCGCATATTAATGATTCATAGATGCGTAGGTTATTTAACGGATCCAGTCCTCAATGTGACCAGGAAGGGAGGGCTCTGCTGGTCTGGTTTCACCGGATACGCCGGAAATCCCAGAAATCCCGGAAATTCCAGAAAGAGCACTAGCACCAATTGGGACGCGGATGTTCAATTTCAATTCAACAGCTTGATCGTCGCTTGATGGTTCTGGCACACTGACAACTTCTGGAAGATCGACTGGGATCACTGCACCCTCTTCTGGTACGTCTTCGGATTCAATTGGTGCAGGTAAAACTCCAGGGCGGACAATGGAATCTTCTTCAATTGGTGCGGGTAATACTCCGGGACGGACAATTGATCCATCTTCAATTGGTGCGGGTAATACTCCGGGACGGACAATTGATCCATCTTCAATTGGTGCGGGTAATACTCCGGGACGGACAATTGATCCATCTTCAATNTTTTTATTTTTAATGTCAGGCAAAGTTCAGAAATCTCCCTGTTTATTTCAATTATTTTAATTGGACACCGCCGTCGCGACGCTTGCGAGCCGACAGCAAGAACCCACTATAAAATAATTAATTAACTCCGCGCTAAGTGCAAGGGAGTAAAACTAGTCGGCCAAGTTCAGCAATTAATTTTTGTCTGCCGCAATAAACGTATTCCTTGTTAGCCATCTGTCTCGAATAAAAGCAGAGAAGAATTTGCATTTTCGAGACCGGCTCGTGTCATTCTTTTATGCCTTTTGACGCTATTATTACCATGATTTTAATAAAAGAGAAGAACAATTACGCTGGGTTTTACGACAGGAACAACGAGAGAATCCACAAAGGCACATAATTTTTCCACACAGCAAATAAAAAATACCGCATATTCTCTAAGCTATACTGAGACTGAATCACTGACATGTACAACTTAAAAGAAGGTTGATACCCCATAGAAAAATAAAAGAGAAATTTCGATGAGGCTTTGATAATAACAAAACATTTATATTTAAAATACAGTTGCAAGATCATTAGAATGATCAGGAAACTTAAAGTTTGACATTAGTAGAACAACTAGCGGGGTTCAGCATCCCGGCGTCATTAATTTCAAGATGGCGTCCAATTTTTGATCATCCGTTACAACACATTTTACCAATATTATACTATATATTGACTGTTTCGAACATTATATTTATTTTATTTTTTTTAAAACATCTCACTGCTAGATGGTATCACGAATAGTTTGAGCTAGAGTCATAGAATATCAACGCCGGGGCGAATTAATATGCGCCTTACTCTTTTATGAATTTAAAATGGTTTAATAAAACGAAAGCGAACAATGGTGTCTGACCTATTAAATTCATTTTCACCATCACCGGTAAATATGACCCGCCATAAAAATATTTCTCGAGTATGTATTTTAATTAAAAATCCAGAACACGAATTTCAAATATGAAAAATTTTAATAATGAAACGATAAAACCGAATGGTATCAAACTAGATTTTGCATCTACACAAACTACAGAGATTTGGACATATCTATACGAAACTTTGTATAAATTTATATAAATGTTTAAACAAAAACCTCTCGGATTCATATTTCAATCGTATTCTATTCCCCTTCTTCTTTCAAGCGGTAACACGGACTCACCTTTGTGTGTAATATTTCATTAAATAACATTTTGAGTACATATTCGTGGCACACGATTAATATTTCACAAGATTTCTTATGAGCATTAACAGGGCGATTTTACCATGTCTGAAGGTACATCTCCAGATTGAGACTTCTTCAATTGAACTAGTATTTCAAAATTACTCACCGACATGCCAAGTACTGCAACGACACGTACCTGAAATAAAAAATAAATAAAAAATAAAAAAAAGTTGAAATCACTCACCACGAATTGTTACTATAAGAAAAAGTCAACATTTATCTTAAAAATATTTAATTGACCGAACGTGTTATCAGTTTTTNGATTCCTCTTCAATTGGGGCGGGTAATACTCCGGGACGGACAATGGATTCCTCTTCAATTGGGGCGGGTAAGACTCCTGGGCGGACAACAGATTCCTCTTCGACTGGGGCGGGTAAGACCACTGGACGGAGAATGGGTTGTTCAGCTGGTAGGACCGATGGTCGAACAACTGCAGCTTGGCTGGCTGAGAAATGACGAGAAAAAATGTATATTTATATTATAATAGTTTAAAAATACTTTACTTACCACCAAGGAGACAGAGGGCGAAAGCGATCACGATTGGAGTCATTTTGTTTTTGCTTTTTCGTACTTGAGTAGACAATGTTTCTTCCAAACCGTTTTTGCCTTATATACTCATTATGTGGTCGCTATCAATTATTGGGGATTACGTATTATACTAGATATAATTCAGAATTACACTTCAAACGTATGATAACGCTTTTGTAACCATAAAATTAATTCTTCAGTAATCGCCGTTTATTGAGGATATTCAAAGTACATCTATTATCAGAGCGTTAAAGAATGCAAGAAGCCACTGATAGATTCGTATCTAATAAAAGAATTATTGCGACGCTGTATTGTAACGAAAAAATTCGCATTTTGAAATTGAAAAGATAGTAATGGATAAAGTAAAATGTTCTTATATTTCCTGCAAAGCTATTAGAAGTAAAAGAAAATAAGGTTTCGAAAAGTAAACGAAAAATTAATGATTTAATAATTAAGCTAAGAGATGATGGATTTTCTTAAAAGATTGCGATGATCCTTCCTCTTTAAACCATCGAAAAGTAATCTAAATCCCACTATAAGAAGAAGTAATTTAGTAGATATTGTTTGTTGAATTTTCAGGTGCTGGGTATAGTGACATAATAATTGTGGTAACAATTAATAAAAGTGTTTTTGACTTAAACGTTGCGTTATCTTCTATATTATTTCTTTCAGTCCAGTACGCAAAAAATTGAAAAGTAGAGTCTGTTGTGTCTAAGTACAGCCAGTAACAATGTCAAAAAAGTTAGTTATTCAGATAAAAATAATAAATAATTGAACCCTAAGCTTCTGCAATATTCTGATTGAACGAAACTGCTAAAAGTTGAGTTGAGAGCAGTGAAACAAAACAGACGCTAAATATTTAAATCAGTTGCAACGTGTGACTTTTGATGGTTTTAGAAAAGTTTAAAATTTGGCTTTTTCGTTGAATTAATAATATTTAGCGTCTAATTTTTAACGGCTTGACCAAACCAATTTTTGCCAATGTGTTTCGTGTGGTTGGTTGTGTATTATTTTTTGTGCAAAAGTACTTTTCTTGATGCTATTTTTCATTATTTATTAAAGCCTCGTGATTGTTCTGTCGGAATAGAATTTTTTGTTTCGTAATATCGAAAAATTGATAAATTGAATGCGTGCAAAATGTAATGAGATTATATGGTTACTCGACAAATAAATTACGTTATCTACATGTTCCCTATGACGGACTTAATGCCATTACGTTGAATGTTCTCTGGCATTTTCGTAGTTTCGTAGTGTCCTACCAACTTATCTCGCCTATTTCTTACTGACTTCCGCAGTGTCCTCTGTTCTCCTATTTTTTCTAATGCCTCTTCATTTCTAACCTTCTCTATCCACGGTATCACCACATTTCGAACGCTTCTAACCTTTTCTTTTCCTCCGCGAATTTCTGAATTAACCGTTCGCGAACATAGAAGTAACCTCTTTTAATTGAAGACGACTCGGCCCTGAGCTATCGTTTGCTTTATATCCCTGCTACTCCTTCCGTCCTGACTTATCTGACTTCCTGGATACCTAAAATCAGCCACTTCTTCTAATTCTTCGTCTNCAGGAACAACGAGAGAATCCACAAAGGCACATAATTTTTCCACACAGCAAATAAAAAATACCGCATATTCTCTAAGCTATACTGAGACTGAATCACTGACATGTACAACTTAAAAGAAGGTTGATACCCCATAGAAAAATAAAAGAGAAATTTCGATGAGGCTTTGATAATAACAAAACATTTATATTTAAAATACAGTTGCAAGATCATTAGAATGATCAGGAAACTTAAAGTTTGACATTAGTAGAACAACTAGCGGGGTTCAGCATCCCGGCGTCATTAATTTCAAGATGGCGTCCAATTTTTGATCATCCGTTACAACACATTTTACCAATATTATACTATATATTGACTGTTTCGAACATTATATTTATTTTATTTTTTTTAAAACATCTCACTGCTAGATGGTATCACGAATAGTTTGAGCTAGAGTCATAGAATATCAACGCCGGGGCGAATTAATATGCGCCTTACTCTTTTATGAATTTAAAATGGTTTAATAAAACGAAAGCGAACAATGGTGTCTGACCTATTAAATTCATTTTCACCATCACCGGTAAATATGACCCGCCATAAAAATATTTCTCGAGTATGTATTTTAATTAAAAATCCAGAACACGAATTTCAAATATGAAAAATTTTAATAATGAAACGATAAAACCGAATGGTATCAAACTAGATTTTGCATCTACACAAACTACAGAGATTTGGACATATCTATACGAAACTTTGTATAAATTTATATAAATGTTTAAACAAAAACCTCTCGGATTCATATTTCAATCGTATTCTATTCCCCTTCTTCTTTCAAGCGGTAACACGGACTCACCTTTGTGTGTAATATTTCATTAAATAACATTTTGAGTACATATTCGTGGCACACGATTAATATTTCACAAGATTTCTTATGAGCATTAACAGGGCGATTTTACCATGTCTGAAGGTACATCTCCAGATTGAGACTTCTTCAATTGAACTAGTATTTCAAAATTACTCACCGACATGCCAAGTACTGCAACGACACGTACCTGAAATAAAAAATAAATAAAAAATAAAAAAAAGTTGAAATCACTCACCACGAATTGTTACTATAAGAAAAAGTCAACATTTATCTTAAAAATATTTAATTGACCGAACGTGTTATCAGTTTTTGTATTAATTAAATTTATAGGCAAGTAACTGATAATACATTTTTTAAAATGAACGGATATCGAAAAGCAACTTCCTGTGGTCAAAAATTTCAAGAGACAGCGAAAAATTTGTCGAGAGTTGAGAGTTAATTGCGTGTTCAAGAGAATGAACTCGGACATAAACCTGAAAGGAAATGGGTCGTTAAATTATTAGAAATGTTCCTCGCTCGTTCTTAATGATAGAGTGAAGCTCTACACGCCTTTCTTTTTCAAACCAGAAGAGATGTATCCTTATAGTTTACATATATTCCAAAAGCTTCTTTTGGTACATGATCAAATCTATTTTCGAGTAAAGCTGAACAACTTCTTTGCTACTAATGTACATAGGATTATTAACCTACATAAACTTGATGTACAATTTTATGAGATACCTACGTAAACCTTTCAACGGCTGATTTATTAGGAACTGAAGTAGTTCAAGGGATTCACCAATATAACAATAATCCTAGTTCTATCTGATTTTGATTTGGTTGTTTATGTTTCTGTATAAGAAGAATTTCTCAGAAATTAACCGTCCACATACCCATGTAAAAATGATATTCTCTTTTGAAGACAGCCAGTTATAAAAGTACCTAATTATTAGATACGTCTGAGAAGCTACAGGGTTTGTCCGGAAAGTAATAGGACTGAGTCGATTTAAAAAAATTTATTGAGCCAATCGTTACAATTCTTTAAAAACTTTCAAAATAGGCTCCATCTGCGTCGATGCAGCGCTGCCAGAGCGATTTCCAAGCATTGAAGGCGTCACGGAAGGCATTCTCTGGAACAGCCTTAAGAGCCGCGGTGCATGCTGCTTGGATCCCCTCTGTCGTCTCAAAACGCTTGCCTTTCATCGGCCTTTTCAGGCGAGCAAACATAAAAAAGTCCGGGAGGGGGGGCCACATCTGGGCGAGAAGACGCCGGCGTGTGCCACTCGGAAGTTTGCCTCTTTGTCTCGGGATCATACTCAGAGGTCCATGACTCGTCACCTGTGATTACGTTATTCAAAAATTGTCGCTTTCACACATGTTTAAATTTTCTTGACACACTTCCACTCTCCGGAATTTCTGGTCATCAGAGAGCACTTTTGGGACCATCTTCGCTCACACCTTGCGCATGTTCAAATGCTCCGTCACAATGTCATGAACCACAGATTTTGGTAAATTTAATATCTGGGCAATTAGACGAATACTTAGCCGACGATCTGAGTTCAAAACTTTGCGCATACGAGTCACATTGTCGAAGGTCTTCCAGCACGGTCTTCATCGGCGACCTCTTCCCGGCCCTCTGAAAAGGCCTGGTGCCACCGAAACACACCATTTCTTGCTAAAGAAACATCTGGGTAAGCCTGTTTGATCATATCAAACGTCTCTGTCGCAGATTTACCGAGTTTCACACAGAATTTAATCGCGTACCTCTGCTCTAACGAACGCTGCATTTTCGACTTGCACCACTCACAGAAACTCATTGCGCGAAAAAGCCTGTTCTGACTCTCCAGATGCTCGGAAACAACTCATCAGCCGCTCGTTCTTTAGCTAGGAATGCCCCCTACCGAATCCAGTCGGTGCGCGCACGCTCCGAAGTACAGTCGCGGCGAAAGGAAACCAGTCCTATTACTTTCCGGACAAACCCTGTATATTATTACCATCAATATTTCTACAAATCTACCCAAATATATTAAAATGATTCGCCAAAATGCAGTAATGGTATAGGTATTCATAGATGAATCAAAAGATTGACTTGATGGTTACGGAAACACTATTCCGTAGGAAGCATGTCGTATGTCCTCGTACTGTAATAGATGATTGATTCGGTGTCGAAAGAAACTTGTAAAACATGCGAGAATGATATGTAGTATCATGTCAGAGTGCCCTGTTGTCGTTCATTCACATTCACGCAGTTGTATGAAATTTTACATGATGTCAAGGAGTCCATGGTTTCACGATAATAAGACCGACTGCGGCGATGTCAGGCGCCGGTTCACGAAACCGTCCCAACACAGTCCTATCCATCATTTTGACAGACACACGCAATGTCCGCCGACTGAACCGACTGAATTACGGTTGCATAGTTTAACTCGTAATGATCTCTGCGGCGCCGTGAAATATGTGCCAGTAATTTAGGGTCATTTTTTAACCCTTAAGTTCCAGGCGTAATTCGTGCCATCAGCGGTGCCGTTCAATCTTCGTGTCGCTGTTATTTACAACACATAACGAAACACCACCAACGTTTTCTTTATAAAATTGCGATGGGAATACGAGCTTCCCAATATCTGTACAATACATCATTACGAGAGGTAGGTACTTTGTAATCTTTTCCCATTTAAAAATGGGGTTTTTGCAAACCAGAAGTCAAACCAGGATATTTAGATAGTCTTAATGTGTATTTAGTCGGTTATATGTTACGAGGGAGAGAGTTTTGGAGTATATGCAAGAATAGAATGTAAATCTTCTATATTAGTTATTCTCAAAGTGGTCTATATTGACACCTAGGGATCGATTCCTCAGAACTGCAAAGGGTCCATGAACAACATGCAAATGGGGGTCCACGAGAAGAGTTCCAATTTAAGGCGGTCGTCGTCATCATTATAGGGGCGTCAGTCCTGAGACTGCTTGGACTTGAATCTGTACTCATTCTTATCCTAAGCTAATCTCTAAAACTAGAACATCCCACATCCTTAACTATTTCTAGATCTACCTTAACTCATATTAATTCCAATTTCTGCTATGTCTCTAGCTAGTCAACTAGATATTCATGCTTGAGAAGGTGTCCTACCAACTTAAATGGAATAATAATTTACATAACACAGATATTATCTATTACTTTAAAGATGTTCTGACTATGGGAATACCCCAGTGAACTGTTAATCCACATAGTCACATTCAAAAAGAACTTTGATTTCTATTGAACTTATTGATGTTCCACCCTTCAATTACGTAGATTCAGTTCTGTGACCTTCTTGAAACATCACCTCCTAGAACAGAACCTCTTTTAATTGTTTAAAACTGTATCTCAGAGAGGGACTGTAAGTATGTTTAGATCCGTTTAATATACGTGTATACCTAATTAAGGTTAGCACCTTCGGTGTTTTGGACTTTTTAAACGTTTTTATACAGAATTTTGGGTTTTATTGTTGTATTCATTCTCCTATGTGGTAAGATTTGACGTTAAGGTTTATCCTGTTAAACTCATGGTCCCTCCCGCCCTGCTGGGCGTAGTCGAACATGGTCATTCCGCAAGAAACTGAAACTATTAAGTTTTATTACGGTCCCGACCCGCTTTTATAATTGCAAAAGTGAAGAGAACAACGACTAACAACGCCAGAAATTGTGTACGCCCCTTTTTACATTTAGTGACAGCAATTTACAATTTAGATTTCTTCCGGAGACATTTCGAAACTCTCCTCCTGCCTACGGGCTAATTTATTTTATAAGAAGACGCGGCGTGGAAACGTTTCGCGGGAGAAAAGAAAACGAGTGACAAACTCTTCTTTTCTTGCTCCGCGCTAATTCCTTTTCTAACCTTTTTTCGCTTCGGAGCAGCATTCTTTCGAAATGTCAACACGACGAAACGTTCCAGGACAAGCTGTTGAAGGATTAAAGCCCGACAGCTGTTACTTTTTTTTTTTTGACAACGGATCGCGTCAAATGCGTTAAAGACGCTCGCTGGTTGTTTATTTCTTAAATCTGAGTAGGGCAAGGACGTACTTTGTTCAAAACCCAATTTCGATTTAGCAATGATATTTGTGAAGGAAAAATTAGGATGAAATATTTAATGAAATAATCAGAACAATTACCACAATTTTGAGGATTTAATGGTTTGTACGTGGAGAATTAGGAGACGAAAAATTAGAAGAAGAGGCTGATTTTACGTATCTAGGAAGTCAGATAAATCAGGACGGAAGGAGTAGTAGGGATATAAAGCAGCATTCTATGCTCGCAAATGATTAATTTAGAAATTCGAAAGAGATTGTCAAGGGTGTATGTTTGGAGACCCTGTAGGGGTGCGAAACATGGACAGTGGGCGCGGCGGAAAAGAAAAAGTTAGAGAATGTGGTGTTACAGGTGAATGATGAGAATATCGTGGATAGAGAAGGTGAGAAATGAAGAGGTATTAGAAGGAATAGGGGAACAGAGAACTTTAGAAGTCAACAAGAAATAGGCGAGATAGGTTGATAGGACACCTTCTCAGGCATGAAGGTCTAGTAAGAGACATAATAGTAGCAGAAATAGGAGTCAGGAGGGGTAGAGGTAGACCTATGTTAGATTACTGTTCGCAAATAGTTAAGGATGCGGGTTGTTCTAGTTTTAGGGAAATGCAAAGATTAGCTCAGGATATGAAAGAGTGGAGGTGCTTGTCCAACCAGTCTTAGGACTGACGACCTTATGATGCTGATGATAAGGAGGAGAATAATTTAAAGAAACGATAAAAAAAAAAGAAAAGTAAACGGTCATCCAAACAAACGAAAGCCAAAGTAGCAGCAGTATATTCGGTTCAGACTGAACATCTTTAGGCTGAAACCCAAAACGCTGTAGGTTGGGTTCTAGTGGTAGTTGTCAGAGGCTAGTACATGCCGGCACTGGATACCAATAGGTATGTATTACGATATGGAATTGTATTGTAGAGTACCGAGGGGCATGGCCTACAGGTTTAGACCATTGCTTATCATTCGGGAGGACGCCGGTTCGATTCCGGGTCTGTCTGCCTTGGTCCAAGTTTTTCTGTGGTTTCCTTGGATAACTTAGGCAAATGCTGAGGCAGTAATGTTCCACAGATAATCTTTCATTCTCTCCTGTCTTCATTTCGTCCGTCTCATCTTTCTCACCCGAACCACCACCCACCCATTCCAACGATTCCTG